TATTTCCTGAAAGAATCTATAACTTATGTTTTCCAGAAACATATTTATTTCTATTAAACTGCATCAAAAATTTTCTAATGCAATAGCTAATACAAACATTTGATAACTATGTTTTCATGTATGAAAAACTTGTCAATTTAATACAGATAGTGCATAGATAATATAAGAGTTTAATATAGAACCCTGACAATGTTTATTATAAACTAACAGTAGTGCTTACTTTGGCAGCATGTATACTAAAATTGTAATGATATGGAGAAAGTTAGCATGGGCCCTGTATAAAGATGACACACTAATTTGTGAAGCGTTCTACATTAAAAAAAATTAAAAGTAAATATAAGGAATATAAAAATTACTTAAAAAGAACATGGATGTTATAACGAAAAACAAATTGGAAATGTGTGTGTGTAGCTAATATAAATTTTGGTCAAAAATATATTCTTTAAACTTGGCTAAATTTATCCATAGCTGTATTCCAATGATGTCAGTAGCCATCATGAAATCGACAAATCCTGGCAAGACTCTGATCCAAATTAATGTCTTTCTTCTCTATATGGCAACACAGGGCCAAGGTGACACAAGATTATGTAGAAAAAATGTTAAGCGATGTAGAACTAACAGACAGTAGTAGTTCAAAACACATCATGACCTTATAATTTGCAAAATCAGAGAACTATCATGAACATAGTCAATCCTACGTTATTTACCTCCAGGTAATTTATATTTTGATATTGCCCTTAAGCTATTCTGTACATATTATGATATCTATACTTAATGCAGAATTTCAATTTTGCCTTATTTCTTTCTGAGCCTGTGTAGAATTGTTAGAAACAGATTGGTACCTATTTTGATGATATGTATTTTTCTGTGTGTAGTAGAAAAGAGATTTGGCATTTGTGATGCTAGAAAATCATTCTGCAGTTGTGCTTCCATCTCAACCTTAAGGCACGAAGAGCAATCAATGCTGATGAGAAGGACTATTCACATGGTACATCCATAAACTCAATCACTATTTTTCTTTCGTAACAGTTTAAAGATTATTATTAGCAGTTAAATAATCGTACTGATTATTTTTGTGTCATTATCTATTTCTTATGTTCAATTACTTAATGGATGGAGATTATTTTTGCTTGATATTTTATTTTAACAGAGTTCTTGGTTAATGCACTATTATCTTTGTCTATGCTTGCTCGCTTTTAAAAATTTGATACAATGTAAACTCATGAACCAAAACATATATCAAAAATTTAACACTGCTTGTAACATGCATCTGTGAATGTGCTCCTTCCCATCCCTTCTTCCTATCTCCTCTCTTTTTAGAATAACCACTATTCTAACCTATAGTATAGGTTGGTATAGTAATATATTATAGTAGGTATAGTTTTGTCACACATATATATGTAATCCTATAAATATATTGTGCTTAGGTTGGCTATTTTGAGATCATATAAAAGGGTATTATAACAGTATAACATAATGCACTATATTTTAAGTTAAATTTCTATTGACAGTTATCTTTTCTCAATTCTTTAAAAATTACATTTTATATCTTCTGGCTTTTGTTGCTGTTGAGATTTCTATGGTCTTTTTTAACAGCCATTCCATTGTAGATAATTTTTTTTCCTCTACTTTAAGATTATCATCTTTGGTATTTTTTCAGTTTTAGTAGTGTGCCTTGGCATAGATTTCTTTTTACTAATCTTGACTAAAATTCATTTAATCTGTGGATCTATATTTTTACATCAGGCAAATTTTCTCCTAATATGATTTTAAATGTTGTTTCTTTGGCATTTTACCTAGTCTTTACTCCTGGAATGACAACTAGATATGAATTAGGAATATTCATTCTATTCTCCAGGTCTCTTAATCTTTCTCATTTTTCATCTCCTGGTCTTTTTTTTTATTGCTTTCAAAGTAATTTTGAACATATATTTTTTTAAGTTCACAAATTCTCTTTCAAATGCATTTAATCTGTTCTTTAACTTGTCCATTGAGTTTGTCTTTATGTCAATGATTATATCTTTCATTTCTAGAAATTCAATTTATTTTTCAAATCTGCCAAACATTCTTTATGGCTTTTTGTTCTATGCCTACTTTATAACTGCATTTTTCATTTTCTTAAATTTTCTACCTATCTTTTCTATACTCTATATCTTGCCGTTCACAAATCTACCATCCTTGCTTTCAAATCTTATTTTGTTTCTGTTGTTTATTATCATAAACATTGGCTTCTAGTTTATTTGACAATCTTCTCCAGTGATCTTAATCTTGCAGGTATATTGTGGAAATTTTTCTTCAGATATTATTTGTTTCTAATTCTGACAGTGACCCACCTTGACCAGAACCACTCCAGTACCCTTCTGACTCAGAAGTGTCTCAAGTTCAACTTCATCACCTTGCTACTCTTGCTATAGTCATACGACTAAGGGCATCTAGGCTCAAGCCAATCCACCAGCTTGTCTGCTCCAATACTTTGGTTCTTTGTAGTTGGCACTCTGCCTCTGAATCTCTTGGCATCATCTCCAGGTCCAGCTTTCTGATACTCCAAATCCAGGCTACTGAAGCTTTGATTCTTAGTCTCCTAACCCTACTCAGGTTTATTTATTTATTTATTTTGACAGAGAAGAAGTTGAACCTAGAGACTCCTCTTACCATTGGTGAAAAGAACAATGGTATAAAGAGTGAATCTCATGTTGGGGAGACATCACCACTCTGGTGAAGTGTTGGTAAGTTTTTCAGTCTTCTCTTTGAGCACATGTAATATAGAGATCTAGAGAAAGAAATGATATACAATAGATGATGATGACGATGATAGATAGATAGATAGATAGATAGATAGATAGATAAACAGATAGATAGCCATAGATTTTTTTTGACACTTTCCTTTCACATTCTTTTAAGAATCAAATAAACTATTCTACACAAGAGAGTTGTTTTACCTAGCTCAGAAGAGTATCATAGAGTTTAGAATTTAATACTGTTTCTCTAATATTCAAAATCAATTTTCATTTTTGTAATTTTATACTTATTTCCTGAAAACAATTATTCCTATAATTGTAGATAATGATCACAATCTCTTGAGTTTATATATTATATCCATTTCTTCCATTTTAATAATGTTCTTTTATGTTAACTTAAGTTTTATTAAGGATTTTGTAGAATTTTCAAAATATGATTAACTATTTACGCAGCTCTTAAAAGGAGACATACAGTGGAAAAATCAAGTCTGTGTAAAAAAATGATTGGAAACACTGCACGATATATAGTAAAAATGCAATGACTTTAAAAATGGAATCAGTGAACTAGGACACTAAAAAGCTTTATAGAATATTTGGTTTTCTTTTGATCTCTAACTCATGAACAACATTATTTTCAAAGAAAAAGAAATGAAACTATTGCCTGTGACTTAAAAAATTTGAAGAACACATGGCATTATAAAAAAACTAATGATCTTCATATGCCTAGATTAAAATATATTAGATGATAAATTAAATATATGTTTACTCAATTGCAGCACCTAGATAAAAATGCAAACATGGTATGTAAAACTAAAATAATGCTAAATTAAATAATGATTCAGTGTCTACAGAAAAGGAGACCTATGCAATAACTATATATTTTTTTACTCTTGATGAAAATGCAAATTAAATCATTAATAGTTTATAAAAGAGTCTAGCTAAGAGAGAACTAATGTATATCATGTTCTAAATTAAATAAAAGTAATGTGTTCCATTACATTTATTGAGATAAATTCCAAAATCATTTCATATTTATGATATATGTTTTAAAAGTTTATCTTATTGAAACTTTTTACTTCTGTAAATATTGGCATGAAAAAAATGTCAGTTATAATATAATTTTCTCTCATTACTCTATTCAATTTCCCCCTCTCTGTCTTTCTCTCTCTCTCTTCACACACACACACACACACACACACGCACACGCACACGCACACACACATACAACCAAATACTTATATCAGAAGAGAGGAAATAAAAGACAAAATAAAATCACACCAACTTATTAACTTTTGGGTCAGCTCAGAATTAGGTAACTATATATTCTTGCCACTAAGAGTTATTGATCACATTCAGACTTAGGTCTGGATATGTTACATTTGACTTTAATATTTATAGAAATTATTTGCAGCTCTTTCCTCTACTCATATTTATAATATGGTAGAGAAATGGAATGAACAAAAGCAAATGTGTACTGCGATCAACTTTCAATGATCAGTATATTTTTAAATTTTGTGGCTTCTCCGTGATGGAGTTTTATTTATCTGCACATCATCATTTCTCTGTATTCAGAGTTCTCTTGAGTATCTCTCATTCCCCGCCCAAGGAATGAAAATAAAGTTTAACTCTTGCAAGAAAAAAGATATAATTATTAAAGCTAATTCTTTAAAAAAATGCATCCCCAAAACACATGTAAACTGCCCTCGCCAAGCTTTTAGATTATCAATACACTACTTCTCTTCATTACAACTTCATTGACTTTCCTGTCAATTAATTATTTGAATGAGTCTATATTTAGCAAATAGAAACATTATAAATTATAGAAATGAACAGTTATTCAAATATTCGAATATAATTTGAAATTCACATTGGTTAGTATAGTGAGATGTGAGAATAATAAGTAGGATGGCAAATTATTGAAAAATTTTCAGAAGGAAATAAATTTATGTAACCTTTTTTATTTTTATTTAGTTATAAAGAATTGTCATGCCATAGGAAGATGATGAGTTGTTATGAAATCATGACTGAGCAAAGAATTTTTGTGTGGGAGAAGAAATAATGGCGACAGAGCTGGGCAAGATGAGTCAAAGCAAAGTACAACAATAACAACAATTCGTATTTGTATAGTAGTTTGTAGCTGGTGAAGAACTCTAGCATCCATTATCTTAACTGAGATATAAGCTTTCTTTTTACTAATTAATTTTGTTTTTATATGGGCATGGTTTTCAGAGCCCCAAGATAATTACAATAGTAATATCAAAAAACATTGATCACAGATCACTGTAGAAAATATAGGAATAATAAAAATCTGAGCTGTAAGCTTTTTTGATTAATAAGATAGATGGTATCATCCTAATTTTAAATGTGAAGAAACAGAAAATATGATCTGTCATAACCGAGATACCCAATTTAAAATTTACAGAACTGGGTCAAATGGTCCAAATAATTATGGTAAAGAATTTTATACTTTTCATGGGTGCAACTATTCCTCAAAAATGTAGGTGGATAGTTTAAAATTAGTGGCCTTAGGGTACTATGTCCTAGTAAGTGCAGTGAGTGCATACTTTGGAGAACTATGACT